TTCAATAACTAACAATGAGGAAGAGTATGAGGCTGTGATTGCAGGTTTAGAATTGGCTCGAGAACTTGGCATAAATCAGATTATAATCAAAAGCGATTCACAACTCGTGGTTAATCAAATGCTGGGGACTTATACAGCCAGGGAAGCAAGGATGCAACAATATTTAGAAAAGGTACGGGAGTTAATAAAGCAATTTCAAACTTGGAAAGTTAAACAAATACCAAGGGATGAAAATCTTGAAGCAGACGCTTTAGCTAATCTCGCATCTGCGGCTGACGTGGCAAGCGATGCAAATGCTTCGGTTATTCATTTATTTCATTCAGCTCTCGACCCTGATAAAAATGAGGTAAATTTTAATAATTTAACGTGGGATTAGAGGAACGAGATCGTTGCTTTTTTTGTAGTATGGAACCGTCCCTGATGACAAGAAAAAAGCCCATGCACTTCGAAAAAAGGCTGCTCGCTACTGTTTAAATCAAGGCAACCTATATCGTAAAATGTTCGGTGGCCCCTTAGCTAGATGTCTTGGACCTTCTCAAACAGAGTACGTAATGAGGGAAATACACGAGGGGCATTGAGGAAATCACGCCGGAGGAAGATCATTGGTAAGAACCTTAATCAGGGCAGGTTACTACTAGCCAAAAATGGAAGAAGAAGCGGAAAGTTTCATGGCCAAATGTGATAAATGTCAAAGGTACGGTAACAACATGCATAGACCCGCGGAATTATTACATCTGGTCATCGCACCATGGCCATTCATGAAATGGGGAATGGATATCGTGGGTCCATTACCACAAGCAAAAGGACAGGTAAAATTTCTACTCATACTTACTGATTATTTTACTAAATGGGTAGAGGCAGGAGCCTTCAAACAGGTACGAGAAAAGGAAGTCAAAGATTTTATTTGGCGAAACATCATATGTCGATTTGGTGTACCAAAGGAGATCGTATGTGATAATGGTCCTCAGTTTATAGGAGCTCAAATCACAGAATTTTTTCAAAGTTGGCAAATTAAAAGGATTACGTCCACACCTTATCATCTGGTAGGTAATGGGCAAGCAGAGTCAACAAACAAGGTTATTGTCAATAATTTAAAGAAGCGTTTGGAAGAATCAAAAGGAAATTGGCCAGAGGTGCTACCTGGTGTTTTATGGGCGTATCGCACAACAACGAAAACGAGCACAGGGGAAACACCTGATCTTCATTCATTAAAGTCAGGCTGCTATGGCTCTCCAGTTTTGCTTTCTCGATTGGGACAATTAAAGGCTCGAGCCAAACGTCAGCTTGACCTGACTTCCTTAAGAGGGTGCTATCAGCAGGAATTTCAACAGTTACGCTCCTCATAGCAGTACTTCTACTTGAAGAACCCACCTCCGTATAGTGAACGATATGTGGGGGAATTGTCAAAGGAAGAGCGGTGGAAGGAGTAAAAATAGTAGAGGGAGGAACAGAAACAGTTGAGGCAGGTAAGGAAAGAATCACAGGCGCGGGAGTAGAAAAGGAAGATAAGGGAAGTTCATCTAAAACAGGCCCTAAGTTTCCACTATCAAAACCACTGATAAAAAGTTGATCAATGGACTCACGAGTATCATGTGGAGTGACGTCATCATTAGGAATAATAACAAGGGTATCAACAGGCTCGGAAAGAGGAAGACGAGATGAGATTTCAGCTTCGTCGTCAGGTACAACACGTCTTCTAGCTCGTGGTCTCGTCACCAGGGAGCCTCCTTCATCCTCTTCTTCTGAGTCTTCTTCTTCAGTAGCTTTTCTTTTTGCAGAAGAAGAACCCAAGATTCTTTCTCGGGCTGAAGAGGTACGAGTACCCAAAGAGTCACGAGAGGCTGCAACTGCCTCAGCAGTAACCCCTCGAATAGCAAATCCTGATAAAAAGAAGGATAAAAGTTAGAGCAATAAAAGAAAATATTTACATACGTGAAAGATAAAATAAAAACTCTTACCATGAGTCTTTACTTTCCAACGTAACGGGTGGAAAGGTTTTTCCATGACCTACCCTCCATTGGAGCGGCCCTCAATAATTTTTCTACCCAACCACGAAAGTTTGGCACATTCTCCACAACACCCATGGTTGCTGAGAAAAGAAAAGAAGCAACATTAGAGAAATTAATAAGCTTGAGAGAAAAAGGCACGAGAAAGATATAACACTTACGTGCAAAGTTCCACTTCTCAGGGAAGGGAACGTTATCTTCACCCACTAAACCAGCAGTGGGGGCAGCAACAAACCGAGAATACCAGCCACGGTCTTTATCATCTTCGGGGCTCACTAAAACCCTCTTGCTCCTGGCTGCTAGGGTAAAAATGCCATTACGGAAAAGCCTAGGGGAGTAGAGGTGAATTAGGTGGGGGAAAGTAAAACCAACATCTGCCAAGTTGGCGAGGTGCCTCAAACAGGCGACAGCCTCCATACAATTGGACCGATTTGACCCAAACAAACGTAGAAAAAATGGCAAAAATCTAGAATGACCGGGTCAATGGCTGGTTTGAACCCTAGAGTAAAAGGGTATGTATAAACAAAAGAGAATCCAATCATGTACGAAGTGATCCTCTGATTTGGATTAGGAATGATAATGGGCAAATCATCACTCCAGTAACAGTCCTTGCGAACTATAGGAGCTAGAATTTCTGTAATTTGAGTAGGGAAAGCATCGGCACAATCTAAAGTGGCAACTTGGTTCCTAAGAGATTCCCTATCATGATGAAAAGATAGTTCTGTTGGGACTATCTCTTCAACTAAAGGCTCACGTAAAGGCTCAGAGGGTTCTTTGTTCCTAGAAGAAGACCTTTGAGAAAGGGATTCCTAGAAGAAGACCTTTGAGAAAGAGAACCTCTAGTTCTAGAAGAGGGACCAGAACTAGGAGAAGGCATGGATGTGCTACCACCGCGAGCAGACCCTAAGCTATGAAGTCTACCACCTCTTCTATGCCTGATGGGGGCATTGGGGAAGTTATCTAAAATAGGAGTTCTCCTAGGGTTAGGGTTTGATGAAGTCATGGCGAAGAAGATTGAAGTGAAGACGAAGTGAATAGAGATTTGAAGAATTGAAGTGTTCAATACGCTTTATGTGGTAAAAGACAAGAAAAGAAATTATATTTATACTGATGGACAACCGGCAAAAAGAAAAAATACAATGATGGAAGGACCATAATAATGATAACTGACACTTCGTGAACAGGAAAGCCGAAAAGAAAGCCTAAGAAAGTGCTGCAAAACTGTAGAGCTAATAAGAGGATGACACGTGTAAAAACGCATTAAATGGAAGTGACAATTGAAGCGTCAATTTTTTCAGAGCATTAATGGTGACAAAAATTCTCTTTTAATGAAATCCACTTCCCAAATATTCAACTGATGAATAAATGGAAAGTGGGGGGACTATCTGTATTGGGAAAAATTACATTTATATATAAAGGTGACGTGTCAAGACATGTGGATTAGTCAAATGGTCAAAGAATTGCAGTTAACCACGAGTCAGGAGTTACAGCAGATACGAGCAAGGAAAGAGGAAGAGGCACGGGACATCAGACAAGTAACACGGCGCCCGTACCTATTTAAGTCATTTATATCCGAGAATCAGAAGGAATGAATCTGACAGCATACGAGGGTCCAAATACAATATTTGATAAGCATTAAATGCTGAAAACGTTAGAGAATCTGTCTTAAATGTAATGATTATGTAACATAGCATTCAATGTCATTTATTGCCCATAATAACCTTATTATGACCAAAGCAAGGCACCTACATCTAAGATAGCTATAAAAGGAGAAGACTGAACAAATTGTAGGGACACGAAAAATCATCTGAATATACTTTGGTTTACCTGCTTTATTCAATTATATTCTGGCTATTCAAATTATTCTCTTTTATATATTATTGCGATTATCAGTAACCCGTGTTCTTCTAAAATATAGCTTTAGTCAAAATTCCATTTTTGGTTAAACAAATAGGTATTCCTAAAATAGAATCAAACAATGACAAGAAAAACAATGAGGACAGACTGTCGCTTCCAATGCTAACCAATTTTCACATTGTAAAAAAAATACAGAACATACAATTTTGAAACTGACTAGAAAACAAGTAACCTGGCTCTGATGCCAATTAAGAATTAAATCAAACACATAGTTTGCAGGATCAGTGTATTTGTTTCACTAGTCACATAGTTCAATCACATGTTAACACACGAATTAAACTATAAAGTTCACAGTCTATGATCGTACCTTGTTACAGAGATTCGTTCCAAGTGTTTCGCAGAAGAAATCTTCACAAGATCTTCATTGGAACTCTTTAGAATTTTGTGAGACAAGAAAGAGATTTTTTTCTGTTGAAGGAGGAGAGAATTCAATATCTGAATTTTCACGCATACTCCTCCTTTTATTGAACAGATACGACACAACGGTTTAGGGAGTCCTTACCGTTGTGTCTCTTCTTTTGTTTTTAATTAGATATTATATATATATATATATATATAAATATATTTACTTATTAAACATGGACTGGATTGGCCCATATGGGTGGCCCAAATCTAATTTCTTTCAGTTTTGGTAGGTCAAATTAGCAATATATGATATTGGAGTGCAGGCTAGTAGATTTGGACATTAGTGTTATCACTCTCAAGTCAAAAGGGAATCGCACTCGTGTCCTGACGTCATGCAACATGACAAGGTATTCTTATCTTTATCGCTTTAGTAAATAAGTGTGCTTTGGGTTTTCTTTTTTCTTTTTTCTTTTTTCTTTTTGGAGTAAAGGGTTTCAATGAAATGAAAAAATTTAGAAATTAAAAAAGGACTGGCGAGATGTAGTAATATGCAAATTATCAAAAGTATCTTTTTAAACGAGAGATGGTGAGAGTTTAGAATATATTCTTCATTTTAAATTGAGAATGTTACCATTAAATTGTACATTTTTATTAAATATATTTAACAAAAGTGTATCACATGCATGTGACCTTTTTTATTTTTTATATCTCCTCTTTTTTCTGTTTGCTTAATCATTCTCCACTTCAAAAAGAAGCCCATAAAAAAGAGAAGCAGACTTTACCCTCTTTTAAGCTTCTCAAAACTCTCTCTACCCTCTCTGTATATATGAGTTTTTGTTTTGTTTCATCAGAATTATAGGGGAAATCCAATCTAAATAGTTTTGCTCGACAAGGTATGTGAAAATATCCTTTTCTTCTTTTACTTTCTCTGTCTCAATTTATATAATTCATTAGATTACTGATACAAAAAATATTCAAATATTAAATTCGACTTTTATATACTCCCCATAATCTAGAAAAATTTCGTGGGAAGGTTAAAGAAAGAACTTGTTCTTCTGATGTTGAGAATTCTTTCAATAATTCTGAGTCTGATCTTTTCAAAAAAGTGCGTACAGTACTATGTGATGTACTTTCCTTTTTAGTATGTCCGACAATGAATTGTATCTTTTTATGCTTAAAAATAATTTAATTTTAAACTTTTTATTTTACAGATTATTATAGCTGCATGAATGTTTATGACCTGTTTTAGACCACACATTTTAATTTTTTTTTTTCTTTCTTTAAGCTTTGAGCGCAATCAAACTCCATCATCTAAAATAAGCTGGAATGAGTATCTCTATTACGACTATATCAAACAAATCAAACCAAAAAATCTTACTTTTTAATTTTATGATAAGCTTTTTATGGTGAATATGAGCCCAAATTGGTCTAAGCTTTTGAATGGGTTAATTTGGAATTTCGCAAATTAATTTGCCAATGAACATGCACCTAGTATTAAAAAAAATTAGATACATACTCAATAGATTATAGTATTTTTATGGGCTAAAATTTAACAACTACATTCAAGAGGATTTGTTTTGCATTTTCCAAAAATTTCTTCCTTATTTCTAATACATTTTTCCATTTTATTGTCCCCTTTGATTGTACAGAAGGATCCTATCTTATTCAATAAAGAATAAATAATTGATATTGTTTTTTGAAAAATTTATTTTCGTATATGCAGGAGGAGAGAGCAAAAATTGCAGTAATAGAAGAAGATGGATGTAATTGTCATTTCATTGCCTTTGGTCATATTGATATTGATCGTAGCCGTTGTTTGTTATCTATGTGGAAGATCTTGTTAATCAATGATACATAGACTACTATGAACCCTACGAAGAAGAAGAAGTTCAAAGAGAAGGACAAATGTAATCTTATTTACTAATGCGTATTGAAATAGAAAAGTATGTTTAAGCAGATTCAGATTCAGGAGTCCAGAAATTTATTATATGTAAGTGAATTTCTCAACTAATAATATATGATATGGATCAAAGTTATTGAGTTCTGTCGAATCTGTTCTTCCCATGCTAGCTTTGTCCCTGCAATATTTAAGCTATTTATAGACCATCCTTTAAATTTGCTTCATACAAATCAATTAAATTTGTATTTTTAGGCCTTACTTGAATTGATTGATTCCTCTTTTATCCTAATATCTCTCTTACTGGTTATCTTCATTAACTGCGTTTTTTTCACGTTACGTTGAGGATCTGAACTGCTCAGTGAATAATGTCAAATCCCGCCTTACTTGGATTGATTGATTCCTCTTTTATCCGTACTTCCGTACTGATGAATTTTTTTCACATCTTGTCGTGTTGACTTATGAGTAATTCCGGTACGAATGATCTCGATATCAAATGATTTCCTGACTCAAATATAATCTGATAACATTCAAAACGTGTTAAGATTTGATTTGTTGATATAATAAGTCCACTTTTTACCAATACAATAGTAATTAAATTCCTGAATTTTGAGTCTTGGATGATTACGGAGAATAAAAGAATTAGCTTGAGGCATGTCAAGGACATTGTCCTTAAGGATATTTCGCCCACGCCGTGATGAATAAAATTAGGCGTATCCCCCAGGATTCAACAAGCTCTTCTAGTATAACTAGGAGCATAAACAACAAAGATTTATGAGAAGAAAGCCCAGCACAAAGGAATGAGAAGAAAAGTTTTTACTTTTTCACATCCTCCAAAACAAAACACCAACCTATACTTATATATAGATAGTATTTATATATAGTCCAAAAATGAGATGGACATCTCATAGGTAATGAAAAACGTTAAACTCCATTAAGGAGTCAAATGTCAAAACGTCAAATTCATTTAAGGCTATCAACTTTAAAATCATTTAAGACCAAAGAAGCATTAGCTATCAAAGTTAAGGAAATGTTATCAAAATTAACTGGGTTCTAAATGGATTTTCAAGAAGAAAATGAAAGTTGATGGTACTATTAACAAATACAAAGCAAGACTTGTTGTCAAAGGATTTAGACAGCGATAACGTCTTGACTATTTTGACACATACTCGCCGGTAATAAGAATTACATCCGTTCAGATGCTAATAGCGTTAGCTGCCTTGTATGATCTTCAAATCCATCAAATGGATGTAAAAACAGCCTTCTTAAATGGTGATTTAGAGGAAGAAATTTACATGGACCAACCTGAAGGGTTTGTGGCTCCGGAAAAAGAAAAGAAGGTGTGTCGACTTGTTAAGTCTCTTTATGGACTAAAACAAGCACCCAAGCAATGACATGCGAAATTTGACCAAACAATGTTGTCAAATGGCTTTAAGATTAATGAATGTGATAAATGTGTTTACATTAAGAACGTTCCAAATCATATAGTCATTGTTTGCTTATATGCTGATGATATGCTAATAATGAGCAAAGACATTGCCGACATTCAAGCTACTAAGCATATGCTTGCTAGTAAGTTTGATAATGAAAGACTTAGGAGTTGCCGATGTAATCTAGGAAATT